GATATCAGTTACAAACAATTTCAAGAACGTTACATTCTTTTTCTGCTGCGGTAACATACACAATAGATTTCTTAACTATTTGTATGTTGTATGCAGTTGATCACACTGAACTTACATAGTATCTAATAAAGTGCAAAAATATTACTACACAAGCAGCAACTAATTTTCTCGTTCGCGTAATGAATAAATCAAATAAAATATCTGAATTTTTACATCTTCAATGTTATGCATTAACACAATCTGCGGTTTTCTAATCAATACAGGATTTTAATGGGCTTCGAAACGCAGATCTTGGATCCCTATACTATTCATAAAACTTCCATTGATTCTTTCTTAAAACGGATCAGAGAAAAGAATACATTTAATTCAAAAACTTTACGACTTCACTTTATTTTAGGTACTCCGTTTCATACTAACCGACCATCTGCAAAAATCATTAATAATGATGATCAGAATCGGAATGACGCACGCATTTTTCCTGATGCACAAAAATATGTACGCAACTGGATTTGTGGTGATATAATTGGACAAGGTGTTTTTACATACCAAAATGGAGGCCGATATGAAGGAAACTTTAAGCTTCGTGGTGGTAAAGAAGGAAATGGCACTTTTTATGTTGCTGATGGAGGAAAATATGTAGGCAGTTGGATGAATAATTACCCGAATGGGCAAGGTGCTTTTACATGGCCTAATGGAGATCGATATGAAGGTAGCTTTAGAGATGGTGAAATGCATGGAAATGGTGTTTTCTATTATGCTGATGGACGAAAATATATTGGCAGTTGGATCAATGGAAAATCGAATGGGCCAGGTGTTTTAACATGGAACAATGAGACCCAGAAGAAAGAATTCTTCAAAAAAATCAAGATGCTAAGTGGTAGAGATATAGGCAAAAGTTTTCAACGGCCGTTTACATATAATTAATCAAACAAAAATACTTTTGCGAATTAAACTTTTTTATAGAGTAGTTTTTTTGTATGAATCAATCTTCTTTGTGTTGTATTTCATGATAACATAGTGTTCAATTATCAATACTTATCTGCCTGCCTAATTTTTCACAACTTTGAATAGAGAGACTGTAAAACAACGTTGCCTATGAGTAGTTAACGTCTCAATATGATAAAGGAAGGCATACTATCAGAGATTGGAAGACTCGTAAACGAAAAGGTGCTAGAATTTCTATTATTCCTACCTCTTATTATTAAAACGTGTTATTTAATCAGAACAGGTTTTAGTTGGATCTTTGGAGTAATATCAAGTATTCGCACGAAGAAAGTGTTTGAAAGTTTTGATTTGTGACATTTTTTATTCTCTGAACGAACTGCATATACTTGTATAGATACTCTCATATTCTCTCATGTATGTCTTAAAATTTTTCCTTTCTAACCAGTATTGTTACATAGATATCGATAATATCATGATAGGGAAATATAGAACTCATTTCATTATTCATTGAATGATCAATTGTGTGACTGTGGAAGTTACCGTCTTATGTATCTATGCCATTTAAGTTTTTGCTTTTTTTCATAAATTCAACTGATAGTTTCTTTCATGAAAGACAGACGAAAAGAAAGAAAAAGACAGTTTGTAAAAATGAATATTTTAGAAACTCATACTTCACTTTTTATCCACATATATGATTCCACAGGTAATATAGAACAATCGGTTTACTCTTTAAAAATAGAAGCTTAGTTTCTTTTTAGACCATCAACGCCTTAGTTTTTAGTAATAATAACGATTTACAATATCTCACTATTATGTTACATTTCAACAATATAAAGTATGATGCTTACTTGCCAATTGTCTAGAGAAATCAAAATTTGTTTTTTAAAACATGACAAATAAACGACAATAATTGAGATATTGATGGATATCAACAGATCAACTGTTCATTAAAATCTGTTCGCGCCCAATTTAATGTGTGTTATTTAATCATACAAAACGTCGAAATCTGTTTTTGTAAAAGTTCTGATTTTTAGCACTATAGATTAAAAATTGATATAGAATTGGTAGTTTGAGAATTGAACTAAGAAAAAAATTTCATCCAATAAATTTATCTTTATAATGATGTTTTTCTATTGATCACAACATTAACCACTTTTAAAAAACTTCGAGAACATTTTACCCAAAATCAATTCGTATTCCGGTGCTGATATTACCACATACAGCATTTAAAAGCCATATCTTCAATAATTCTGAGATATTACTAGAACCCTAAATCGTTAAATATGTTTTTGCGATCATTTTTTTCCTTTGTTAAAAAAAAACAATTGATGTTTTCTCGAAGTTCCTGTTCATCATATATACGTATGTATACATAAACTATTCTTGCTCAATCATAATCGATATATTGAATTATATCTTTCCCATTCTATGATCAGAGAACAAAATAATGAATATTAAATATCGAATCGAAGAAAATGATTTTGATACGCATTCTATTCTAACAAATCAAATTCTTCTTCGATGACGCTACATTTCGTCGAGAATTTTCCTCATCCTTTATTATTATATCGTCGAAACAAAGAACAGCAACTACTAAATATATCACGAAAACACACCACATTTAGACATACAATCATTAATTCGCCCAACATGCATCTCTATAAACATTTTGTAAGCATAGAAAATTTTTTCAAAGTAGATTATTGAAAATGCTCTATTTTTTATAGTTTATTTGGTGGATTA